AATAATCTGTGGAGGAAGATGCTTATGCAAAGTGTTATAAATACTGTTTTCATGCAGCTAAGCCTTAGGAGGTGATGTCTATATCTGTATCACTTATATTCTAAAGTTAGGCACACGTCCTATCTGCTGTTTCTAGATATCATTCCTATGTTACAAACAAGAAAGTAGTTTTACATTCATTTTAATCCTGAAATAAACCTCCATAAATTTTCATGTGATACTTTCAACATTTTTAGTTCTAAAAACAGAGTCAAAGCTAAAGAGCACTTTTGTAGCTTTAATGATAAAAGCGAATTACAGGCCGGGCACAGTGGTTCATGCCTGTGATCCCAGCCCTTTGGGAGGCTGAGGCGGGTGGATCACTTGAGGTCAGGAGTTCGAGACCAGCCTGGCCAACATGGTGAAACCCCATCTCTACTAAAAATACAAAAATTAGCCAGAGGTTCTGGCATGTATCTGTAATCCGAGCTATTCAGTAGGCTGAGACAGGAGAATCGCTTGAGCCAGGGAGGCGGAGGTTGCAGTGAGCCGAGATAGCACCACTGTACTCCAGCCTGGGTGACAGAGCAAGACTCCATCTCAAAAAAAAAAAAAAAAAAAAAAAAAAATTACAGCAATGTTTTCTTCTCTCTGGAGGTCTAATCACATAAGATGATAAGTATTGAACATGCCTTTAGCTCACAGTTACATATGCATGTATATTTTATTCATGTTATCTAGTGAGTTGTTCTAAACAAAGAAGAGAGAATGAATCTGAAAGAAGGCAGCTTGTAATTTCTGTCGTGTTTGCTTTAGGACTTAGTGTACTTCATCCAAATTCCACTAAAAGCTGCACTGTGGAATGAGTGAATCAGCAAAGAGATGCTGTGTTCATGTGATCACATGTAAGCTGGTGTATTCTACATAATAGGAATAGCAATATTATTTTGAAAAAAATCAGACAAGTAGATATGACAATAATAATGCCATTCTTAATAATAGTAGATATACTACACATAATATAGCGTATATAATACATATATTAACAACAGTAGATATACTATTAACAATAGTAGATATAATTATCTACTTAATAATAGTAGATACACTGCATATATGTAGAATCAGGCAGCCCTCAGAATCACAGCAGATTCAGAGAGACTCCAGGGACACCTCGTGGTCAGAACAAATTTATAGACAAAACAAGGGAAGTGCCGTAAAGAAATCGGCAGGGAGGTATAGAAACAGCTGGATTGGTTACAGGTTGGTGTTCGCTTTATTTGAACAACTGAACACTCAGCAGTGTATCAGTGGTTGAAGTGTGGTCTCTGGGATTGGCCAAGACTCAGCTATTGCTACAGGCACATACGCCTAAGTTGGGTTTTCAATCTTGGCTGCCTATTAAGCTAGGTTATAGTTCATCCCCAAGGACTCAAATATAGGAGCATGGAGTCCTCCTCCGGCCATATTTCCTTTGCTTTAACATATGGTAGTAAGCATTTTATGAATAGCAATATCATCTACCTATGAGTACCAATTTTAAGGAAGGGATTCAGAAGGATTATCAGTTTGTGAAAGGTTAGAAAGCTCGCAAATTCAGGTTTCTATTTCTAATTTTGAGCAAGCCAAACGGTTTCCAAAAATAAGGAACTGAATACTCATAATTACTAAATAAAGATTCGATACCAACCTAAATTTAAACATTAATCAAATATGAACTCCTCAAACCTAACCAACATTGTAAAAGTGAGAAGATTCACCAACATTATAAATGTGAGAAGACCTGCATAATATAAACCACAAAAATACTGCGATACATACTATAACTTGAAAAACAGCTTGCTTTACTGTTAAAGTTTTCCTGCGAAATTGTCATTGTACAAATGCTCCAGCTGACGTCTTCATGGATCTGGAGGGTGGTGGGTGGTGAATATTTTCATAGAAAATGTTGTTTTGCACACATTAGATATTTATGATACATTTTAATAAAATAACTGCTTTGTTCAAGAGAATTGAATTATTCATGATCTTCCTAAGTTCTTTCCTGTTGGAACTCCTCATAAAGTCACCCCTGACTGTTTGACTTTCTAAATAGCCTAAGCGACTCCAAACTCTTTTTTTGCAAAGAGAAATGGATGTCAGAATTGAAGCTCAACACAGAAATCCTTGTTTTCTCCCACACACTCACACACTTCAAATGACTCACCCAAACCACAGATCAAGAAGTTAAATTGTTTATTTAAATTATAGATTAGATTATTCCTTTTTCTTCGTCAGTGGCCATCCGTCTGCAGTGCCAAGCACATACCCACATGCACTCACATGCACACACACAGACACACACAGAGACACAGATGCACTCTAAGCTACGTATCTGCTTGAGGCTTTGAGTTTTTGCTCGTTAGAAGGATTGGGAGCAGAGAAACCCAAAACTCTTCTCTTCCTCACAGGCTATCTCTCAACCTGCAATCGCTAGAATCCAGTTAGTTGCTACCCCCCAGGGTCAGTATGTTCCATTAGCGATGTTCAAGGTAGAAAAACACAAAGTTAATCTCAGGGGATGGGTTTTGTCCATACTGCTGTTGCATAAAAGGGATTCACTTGAGTACAGCTTCTTCATGTCTCTGGCTTTGATTTCCTCCTTCACAATATGAAGGGATTTGATTTAAAATATTTCCAATGTCCTGGGAGCTTGGAAGTTTTATATTTCTGTTACTTTTGCCTGGGTTACCATGCTTTAACATTAGCCCTTTCTTCTAAATTTCTGTTGCATTTTGGGAACAGAAAACCCTAAAATAGTCTTTCTTTGTAAATAAAACACAATTTTGATAAGGCCTTTTACACTTCTTAACCACTTTCCACCTATACAACGCGACAAACCATATCCATAGCCTTGGATGTCTTCACTGAAATTTAATGACAGTAGTTAGTAATGTGACAGTCAATTAGGCCAATTCAGCCTCTTCCCCTGAGTGCACCTGCACCATCACTCAGCCCTCACAGCAGTGGCGGGACAGAGGTTGTCTTATAATTTCTCCAAGCAGTTCCAGGTGTTCAGTCTCACACTGGCTCCATCATGCTGCAAAGTCCCTCCTCTCTCCAGCGCCCTCCTGACACTACTGCATCTCCACCTTCCCGTCTCAAAACAGCAGGACTGGTTCTCGGGCCACTCTTCTCCTCCCCAGCACCCTGGTTCCCTCCTAGCCTTGTCACGATGTCAACGGCACAATGACACCATGTGTTGCTCAGGCCACGGTCACAGGAATCATTCTTGATCTCTTTACCTTACATCCCTCGCTCAGTGCGTCCATCCATCCCGACCTTCCTACCTTCAGAGCGTCACCCATGTTTCCCCATTCCTCATCGCCTGCACCACCACTACCATCAGTGCCATCACCATCTTCCCACTACCATACCAGGAATTTAGCTCTCTGCTTCCAGCTGGGAATACCACAGGGACATCTCCACAGATGCAAGTCACCTTCAAAGTGAAAACCAATTCCCTTGCATACTCAAAACCCCCAATCACTTCCAGACAACTCTGAAGGAAATCTAAATTTCTGACCATGGCTGTTCTTTTCATGTTGTCTCTATTATCCTCCCTCTTTCCCATACAACTCTAATCTCAGCTCCTGGCCTTCACGTTGTCCCTCAAACATTGAGTATGTTTCCTCAGGCCCCTTGTCCACTTCCATCTCCCTTGGACACCACTTCAGATCTGTGAATGGCCTTCTCTGGTGTCTCTACCACAGGTACCACCTGGTGGGAGGCTCTTGATTAACCTGTCTAAAAGCAGGACACCCACTCGCTCTTCTGTTCCCCAACCCTGATTTATTTTTCATCATATCACCTCGACTATTACCAACCTGTTTATTAATGTCTCCCCAACCAGAATATAATGGCTTCAGATGGAGATACAGCACAGCAGAGCAGAGAGAACTAGAGATATATTTTTTTTTGCAGGCTTAAAGCAGCCTACGTGTGTACTCAAGAGGGGGGCTTGTTGGGGAAGCCCCCCGCCCTTTGTTCTCTCAATAATCACTTGGCCTTAACCACTGTCTTGACTACATGCAGGTAAGTGAAGCAACCCTTCTGTGTGTGTGTGTGGGGGGGGGGTGTTTGTGTGTATGTTTTCTCCTATAGCATCCTTTATTTTTGTCACAAAAGTTCTCCTAAAATTGTGTAAACTCACACCATTCCTCTAGATCTAACAATAAACACCCAATAAGCCATAAATCAGGTATCAGCAGGTATCTGAAGTCAATCCACATGTCCCTCAGAGTCTAGTTCCCACATCCCCTGCCACTGAATTGAGTTTGGATCAGAATCCAATTCTCTCTTGCGCTCTTCTCCCACCAACTTCTCTTCTGAACAGGGTTCATTCCCCATATTGTTTCTTGTTCTCATCCTAATGCAAATCTGGACCAATCCCTGTGGCGGAGACATACTAAACCAGCCAGTTAGCAGAAGTGCAAACATTGAGAAAACATTTTTCACTCACTGTCGATACGGCCGGTCACTCCCATCGTTCTCGTATGACCAAGGCATCCTAATTTTAACACAAGTGCTTTCTGCCTCCAGTAAAGGAAATCAGCCCCTCAGGTTATGTGTGCTGTGCATCTTAATCCATGATAAACCTTCATTCACCAATGAATAATCATACTTACTCAAATAATATTGCCCATTATCTCAAAACAGGGCCATGAATTAGGAATGCAGAACTAATGTTATAGCCAAAATACTCAAAAGGAGTACAGGAGTTTATATATGCATAAGCTTTTTTCTGATATGAAAACTAGTAAAATATAAATATAACTCTGTTCACACACATACAACTTCACCCAAACATTCAACAAACAGTTGGAACCTTGTTATGTGGATGGTTTCAACTTAACAGTATCCAACAGTTATCTTTTACTCACCGTTTTGTCTCTGAAAAGTAAGAAGATAATTTAAGACTGCCAAATTACAATCACAATTTGAAGGCATAGCTTTTAGACACAAAATACTTAGTCACTCACCGGTGTGCACATAAATTATTAAGATGAAGTCCATATTTTTCTTCAGCAGATAACCCATCCATCAACAAGTAGAAAATGAGAAAATTGCTCTGGCCAAGAGGTTGTGAAACAAGTCTGGATTTCTCTAGCAAATATGTATAAATTCTGGCTGGTTGGGAAAAGAAAAGTAATTCTGTTAAATGGCAGAGTATTCATTTCATTTCCATAAATTAACACATATTAACTAATTACAAGAGATACAAGGACTGTTGACTTTTCCCTTTCCCATCTATTTACATTTTATTTTATTGTCATTTTGCAATAGCTAGGACTTTCAATATGATGCTGAAAAGACACGGTTTAAGGGGACATCCTTCCTCGTCCCATATCCAACAAAGAACTTGGTGCACAAATATAATCTGGAACAAGATTTGCTCTTGCCTGTAACAAAGGCTTTGAAATAAGCTTTGGAATTTTCCTCATTAATATCTCACTGTTTGAGAGTCCCGGCCATGTTGGTAGGGTGGATATTAACATACACTGTTCAAAAAGTGCTCCACTAAAGGCACTGACAAGCATTCCCCGCAACTAAATCAGAATTATATGTGGCCATACTACGAAGGCCCAGGGAGATAGACCATGGTCCCTCACTGCCAGAAACACCAGAAGAAACCCACTGCAGCAAAGGAAAATGCAATTTGAATTCACACAGATAGAGTTTAATATACAGAATGTATTTGAGGATGAGGTAGATGAGGTGTCTATAAAGTAACACAGGTCCAATGTGAACAGTATGTAGTCATCTTCTCCTTTTATTCTGACCACACGCGTGCAGTAATAGGACTACTATCTAATGTTTATTTAGTACTGTTTTCAAACCTTTACAAAATAAAATAAAAGATAACCCAATTCATAAATATAAGGTGTTGAAATTTATTTGATAGTAGTTGATTAACAAGGCCAAAAAGATGCAATATGGTAATCACAGCCTCAGTTTTGCTTTACATATGAAGATCGGCAATTCAGAAGCTAGCATTGGTCAAAATTATGACTGTATGTTTGGCATGCTGCAAATTTCATTGTTTCTGGAGCATTAAAAATTAATATAGGTTTATTTTATCATTATGAATAATCAGATTATGTATTTTAATTTAATTTATTTACTTTTGATTCATAGTCTCACTCTATTGCCCAGTCTGGAGTGCAATGGCATGATCGCGGCTCACTGTAACCTCTGTCTCTCTGGTTCAAGTGATTCTCCTGTCTCAGCCTCCTGAGTAGGTGGGACCACAGGTGTGTGTCACCACACCGGCTAATTTTTGTATTTTTAGTAGAGATGGAGTTTTGCCGTATTGGCCAGGCTAGTCTTGAACTCCTGACCTCAAATGATCTGCCCACCTCAGCCTCCCAAAGTGCCAGGATTACAGGGGTGAGCCACCATGCCAGACCTGTATTTCAATTTTAAATGCAAATGTGAATTATCAGTTTTCCTCTTTGAAGTAAGAATCCAATATCGATATTATTTGGGTGAGGGGTGTTAAAGAATGGCAGTTCTTAGAAAGGCAAATGGTTATAATTATCTCATACATTTGAACTTTTAAAAAATCTCATGTAATGAATTTGCTAAGCATTATTCTAAAGTCCAGCCACTAAAAGCAAAAATGTGGTGTCTCCCAATTTAATTGTATATAGCAAATCTGTTCTAACAACTAGAACCACTATTTACAGTGCCTTCCAATGCATTTAGTAAGTGGTCAATTTAGCTAATCAGAATGATTATCAGAGTTTTTTAAATTTCAAAATTAATATCCCTTAGTAAGATAAGTTGTCTAAAGAGACAAGTTTGGGAAAAGTCACCAGAAGTGCATAAAGAAAAGGCCTTTCAAAATATCCCTTTCATCGGTGACAGTAAAGCCCCAAGGTGATGGTAAAATTAGAATGGGGGTGGTATCAAGTCCTGAACTAGCAATAAACCTCAATGGATGAACATGTGTGCTTGAATGTGTGTGCACAGGTCTCCATGAGAATCAATTAGGTGGCAATTTCAAGTTGAGTTTTAAATACTTTTTTTCTTTTTTTCTTCCTTAAATTCTTCGCCGGAAACATTTTCTATTTAATATTAATAATATTCATCTTGAATTAATTTACTACTCGAGAGGATATTCTTTAAAAACCTAAAAACATTTTAAATAAAATTATCTTCCTTTTGTTCCTAACCTTTAGGCATGAAATACCAGATGAGAAGGGAGAATGAAACAGTCATCTTGCTACCATTCTTGGAGAAATGGTTGGCTAACCCCCACCTATCCCAGCCAATATGCAAACTCTGCTTGAAGCAGTATTCAAAACTAATCAAATTCCACATCATGGAGTCACTTTGATATCTTTCATCTAAATTCAAAAACAGTGTAATTATTAATCAACCTGGTTAGCTCATCTCCAGCAGTGAATAAAATTGCTGTGGATTAGCAGAATTCTGATCAGCAGGGTTTCAAAATAGGTATACATCTTGAGTGAGCTTTTAGATGGAAGCAAACACAAGACAGCCCAAAATTCAAATTACCATGAAACTCTAATATTCCTTCAAATGGAGAAATGCAGACTTTTTGTTGTGTCTGAAATTAAACGGTAAAAATGGAAGGAGTATGATAGGCTTCTAAGTTAAACAGGTTTCAGGACACATTCATGTAAGTGTTCATACATAGAAAGAAACATTCTACTAACAGTTCTTGACTTCTCAAGACTTCTATGTTTTAAAAGCTCTTTTATGTACGAAATACTTTTGACTAGAAACATACTTGTAATTCTCTACAAGTGTCCACATATTCATATATGTATTCAAAAAGTTTTGGTGCTGAAAAAACATATGTTTGCAGATTATATGTAACATGAAATGCAATAAAGTATTTCATAGGGCTATACAGCTTTTGTTCATTATGAAAAAAAGTGGGGAAAATAAATTTCCCTTTCTTTCTTTTTTTTTTTTTTTTTTTTTTTTTTGAGACGGAGTCTTGCTTTGTCGCCCAGGCTGGAGTGCAGTGGCCGGATCTCAGCTCACTGCAAGCTCCGCCTCCTGGGTTTACGCCATTCTCCTGCCTCAGCCTCCCGAGTAGCTGGGACTACAGGCGCCCGCCACCTCGCCCGGCTAGTTTTTTGTATTTTTTGGTAGAGACGGGGTTTCACCGAGTTAGCCAGGATGGTCTCGATCTCCTGACTCGTGATCCGCCCGTCTCGGCCTCCCAAAGTGCTGGGATTACAGGCTTGAGCCACCGCGCCCGGCAATTTCCCTTTCTTTCAAGAAAGAAAAATTCCTGCCTTTGCTCTTCCCATTGACTTCCAGAAACTTCCAACACCCAATCTCACCCTGTCGCAGCCATCTAGTTATGGGTACATGACCACTTAGGGCCTGTTCCCAGAAAGTACTGTCATGCCTTCAATTAGCAACCACCAAAAACATATTATCAATTAATTAGGATAGCCAAATATTTTCCCTTTCACACCTATGCATTTCTTTCCATCTCATTATTCATGGTCAGGGTGGTCATCACTCTGGTGGTGTAACCTAAGTGAAAGTGCTTCCCACAGGAGTCAAATGGACGGATCCTACTCTGGAGTCTGACGCTGCCAATCCCCGCATCCCTCTGGGCTTCGTTTTTCCTATCTGTAATAGGAAGAAGAAAAGACGCGAAGGTTCCAAGATTCCTCTGGACTCCAGGAGGAAGGTGCTACCACTTAAAGCACCTACTGTGTACCACATACTATTCTAGTGTCCTTCTAACATTGCCTCATTTAAAATTCTGTTGCAGGCCTTTTCACATTGAAGCCCAACTGTCTTGTCTCCTAAGCCCAGGCTGTTTGCAATAAAGGATGCTGCTCTTCAGATAAGATCAACTAAAGCACTTCGAAACTTTTAAAAGAATGTCCTGCTAAGTATGTAATTCTAAGACTAATTGATGATGGTAACAAAGATGACTATTCATCTGGTATTATGCCTCTACTTTATTTAACATCAGGATTTGGAAGAAACACAAAGCAAAGGCCTTAATATATTTTCCATTTCATTTGCAGTAACTTTAACGTTTAAATTTCTTAAATAGAACACATAGCCTGGCTATATTTACTGGAAGATATTTTCTAACATTAGTAAATTTCAATTTCAACTTAAATACACTTGGATATTTCAGGGCACAAACATCAAAATCCAAGTATTCTTGACATTCCTCAGGGGAACTCTGGACCTCCCTCCCTTTTGAGTTCCTCCCACTTACTTCTGGGAAAGGGATAATCTAAGATTTGAAATAAAAGTGAAAGAAAAAGAAAACAGTGAGTGATTTAAAGAGCAATGTTAACATATTGAATATTCATGGAAACTCTAGGAGTTTCGGGTGATAGTTATCCCCTTTGGACAGAAGAAGTAAATGAGGTATGGAAGATCCAGTGAGCTGCCCAAGGCCAGCAGGCACAAAGTAAAAGAGCCAGGACTCAACCCCAGGCCTTGTGGCTCGTAAAGACTACAGAGGGAACTCAGAGCTTAGAATCAAGCTTAGAATCAAGCTTTTGAGCTCGCTGAATGCATTGCCGATGGTGATGAATTTGGCCCTCTGCATATTCTGGGTGCAGTTGAAAGCATGGCCTTATGGACTCTCAATGTCTTCCAGTCCTTTACAAGTAAGCTCTTCTAAAAGTCCTTCACCCTGTTTTTGGTGAACAGAATTCTCTTCAATAATGAATACTCCAGAAGAGGAGATCATTTTCTTGTTTGAGAACTTATCTGGTCAACAGCTAAGATTTACCTTGATAAAGAGAATGACTCCATTTTGAAAATCTAGCTGCTAAGTGAGATTTGGGACATGGCTGGTCATATGCTCTTTTCACAAGCCCCCTCAGCCAAATAAGATTTATGAAGATGCACTGAGGCCAGTGTTCTTGGCACCCCTTTATTAGCACTGGCTCCTTTGCAGAGGCAGCCTGATTAAACCATTAATAACTCCATCATGATACTAGAAATAGTCAACTTCAAAAGTGGTTTATTTCCAATTAAATAAAAAGCAGCTGAAAGGAACACAGGAGACCATGGAGTCCGGTCCTCTAATTTTATAGCCGGGTAAAGAGAATCAGTGACATTCACCTATTCACCTGAGTTTACAACTCGATGGCCACCCTGCAATT